GTTTGCTCTTCCTCCCACCCCCGCCATTGGCTTCTTGCTCCATTTCTAACTTGTTCAGAGCCTCTTAGGGAGTGTGTTAGAGAGACAGAGAGAGGGAGGTGAGTCAGAGTGTCTGGCTGGGTTGTGTAAAACCTGCAGTGAAGGCTACCCCACCCCCGCTAGGCAGTGGTGTTAGGGCTTTCCTTTGTGTTAGTGCTTCTTTTGAGGAATTTTGTGCGTCTTCCGAAGTATCTAAAAAAGTATCAGGGAAGTGGTCTACGATTTCATTTTATTTTCTTTTGCAAGATTAGGGCAGTCTGTTGCATGTATTGTCACTTGAATTGTTCTACTTGAAGATATTTTTAGCTTAATTATGATGCTTATTGCATTTGAACAGATATCTGGAAACATGGCTACTGAACATGTTAATGGGAATGGTACTGAAGAGCCTATGGATACTTCTGCTGCAGTTACCCATTCTGAGCATTTCCAGACATTGCTTGATGCTGGTTTACCACAGAAAGTTGCTGAAAAACTAGACGAAATTTACGTTGCAGGTAAGATGTAAAACTTGCAAAACTACACTTAAAATATTTTATTGGATTCTGCTGTCTTTGGGCTAAAATAGCAACTTTTTGTGGTTTCCAAAAGTATGGGAACTGCAGTCTTAACAAAATCTGTGGGTGTTTTCCATTCAGTGCTTTTATTTGTCATAGTATTTTTCAGAGAGAAGTCTTGGGCCAGGCCACTTGGGCTGAGGGGTGGGAAGGAGGAGAAGTATGCAGGTGATCATAGCAACAGCTGGAATAGGGAACAGATGATTTTTAGGAGGAGTAAGTGGTGTGATCCTTGTGCATTTTTTACAGTAGTTGTAGGTAACTGTAAGTAACTGAAGCATTGGTATTCATCTTATCATGTAAATGGTACTTCGTGACAGTATTTGGGCTCATGGATGCACAGGTTATTGTATTGGTTCTGTCAGATATGGTAATCGCTAGCATTTTTAAAGCTTGATTTTTTTGATTGTGGTGGTCGCTTTTAGTGCTGCAGTTCATTTGTCTTTAGTCTTAAAATGTACCAGGGTGCCATTGCTAGGCAGCTAAGTCAGTTTCTGATAGATCCTTCTGAATTCAGCTTCAGGATACTGAAAATAAAGTTGGCCTGTGTAACATCTGGGTTTCGTAGAAGTCAAACGAATATGTAAATGCAGTAACTGTTCTCTGAAACTTAACTTTTTAGACACTTTTTGATTAAAAAAGGGTTAAATATACTGAAATATTTACCTTTAAGAGGACTAAGTGATTTCTTGGGTATAGTAACTTATGTTAATCAGTGATTGATTTAGAGGTCACTGAAATATGTTAGATGTGTTAAATGTGGTGAAACAAAGATTGCTGCCCAAATATAATTAGTATTTTTTTTCTTTTCTCTAGGGCTAGTTGCACATAGTGATCTAGATGAAAGAGCTATTGAAGCTTTAAAAGAATTTAATGAAGAAGGTGCATTGGCAGTGCTTCAGCAGTTTAAAGACAGTGATCTCTCACATGTTCAGGTAATGTTAAGCAATTTAGAATATAATTGTTGAGGGATAAATTGCTAGTTGACTGGCAAGAGGTTTACTTAAGTCTCCTCAGTGATCCATATGTGATATGTAAAATGAGCGCTGTATTAGTTCAGGGTAAAATTAGATTCTGGCTTGTCATGTTTTCAGAACTGAAGTTTAATATATCTTTTGCAGAACAAAAGTGCCTTTTTATGTGGAGTCATGAAGACATACAGGCAGAGGGAAAAACAGGGGACCAAGGTGGCAGATTCTAGCAAAGGACCAGATGAGGCAAAAATTAAGGTATGTGCCCAAAGATAAATTATATGGTCTGTCTGTGACTTTTCAAAGCTGTTGTAACAGGTACTTCAATTCTTTTGAAACCGTGCTTTTCTTAAAAAGACAATTTTAGAGCCCTCATCACTTGCATTTTTATACTTTTAAATAATTTTTATAATTTCTTCCTCTTCAAGAGGAAAGTTAATATACTGTTAATTACTGGAACTGAATGTACTTAATAAAGTGAAAAGATTTGACAGTTTGTTTTACATCTAGTTGAGGCAGTTGCATTACCTCACACTTAAAAGTTTTCAGAAACTTCTCAGTGTAGATCTTTGCGTTCAGCATGCATAACTTCAGCTACTGGTGGTTTTCTTTCTTTCTTTTTTTCTTCTGTGGTGGTGGTGGTTTGGTTTTTTTTTTTCCTCCAGTTCAAGTTTAAAGCGTTTCCATAACAGGGAGGCAGGACAGACCACATGTGTCTGCAAAAACAGATTATAATGGATGTAGCCCACTTCTTATGACATAATCACTGTTCTCATTAACTGTACCCCAAACTGGGTAACGGACATGTTATTCTTTGGATTGACTTTTCTTCTAGCAAGAGACTTCTGTTTCAGGAGTTAGACATACTATGACTTATTTTAAAATTCTGTGATTAGCAGCTTTACCAAAGCTTAAGGAAAGGAAAACCATCTTAGCATGCTTAGTTGATGTGTTAAAAAGTGAGAGAGTTTCCTCTAACTTTTCATGTGTAAAGTGCAAAATGAATGTGTTCTGTATTACCAATAAAAATGTTGCTTGTGAAACTAGAACATCTTTTTCTCCTGACTTTGAGGCTGGCATGCCACTAATGATAAATTTTTAAAAACTGATACCGTATTTGTCACTAGCACGTAAAACAATGTGAGCTCTTTAACTGACTTAAAGTAGCGTAGCTTTTACTGCTCATAACTATAGCATTTAAAATAACTTTGCAATTTTCCAGTTGTGAAACTAACTCTTGATGATAATTAGGCTTGTTTAATATGCTGTTTCTTTGTGTATGGAGTTGATGTGTCTTTGTACAAAATTAATAAGAACGACTGATTTCAGATGCGTTTCTCATGGTATATTTGCATACTGAATTTCATCTACCATTTTAAATTGGTAGCCTATCTGTAACTGTATGCAGTGATTCTAGCAAGGATCAGTTGTGCTGGGATGCTGTATGTGCTCTTGAGGAATTTAGGGGAGGAATAGGAGAAAGGAAGGAGTAGTACCACTTCTGTGGTGGGACACCTGAAGCAGTCTGTACAGTGTTCCAGAGTGTAAGCACTTAAACATGTGTTCCTTAACTTCGCACTTATGAGTAATCGCATTAAGTGAAGGGAACTCCTGTGCATAAATGTTTGCAGGATTGGACATGTCAAAACAAGAAGTGGCTCAGACTAAGACCTTTCTAATTAAAGGGAAGCTCACTATTCTATTATTTGGCCTTTTTTTTTTTTTGTGAAGATGAAGGAATTGGGGAAACTCTACGTGAATCTCTAATTTTCTAGCAGTGTCTTTACTTGATAGTTCTGATAATTGTTTTGCAAGTTTCTTATTGAAGTACTAGCAGTAGGCTTGTTTGCCTGTGGGAGTTTCAAAGCAGTACAGTTTAAGAGGAATTATAAGCATGTCTGTAAATGAAGTGCTGCATCTAAACTAGCTCAATTTGTATATGATTTTAAAATTTGAAGTTTCTTACTTGAAGGCACTCCTGGAGAGAACCGGCTACACTCTTGATGTGACTACTGGACAGAGAAAGTATGGTGGACCTCCTCCAGAGTCTGTATATTCAGGACAGCAACCTTCTGTTGGTACAGAGGTAAGAAGGAAGAGATATTTATGGGTTTATGTATATGTATTGTTATTCACTGGAAGTATTTTCTTATAAACAATGCTCTGTATGTCTGTTGCAGATATTTGTGGGCAAGATTCCAAGAGACTTGTTTGAAGATGAACTTGTTCCGTTATTTGAGAAAGCTGGTCCTATATGGGATCTCCGCTTAATGATGGATCCACTAACTGGTCTAAATAGAGGATATGCTTTTGTCACTTTTTGTACTAAAGAGGCAGCTCAGGAAGCTGTTAAACTGGTAAGTTTTCATACTTGGATTTTTTCTTTTTAAGAACACCCTCTGGCTTACAAGCAGTTGTCCTGATCCTAATGCTTAAATCCTGGAGATGAAGCTGTCATTGTTAGTTTACTTCATAAATGTGCACAAGGCATTTTTAAATAATTCCACATTGTGAATAAATTTTTAGTGGCTGTGTTAGGGAGTGGGGGGGTG